CCATGGCTCTAGCCAGACTTGAACAGAAGAATAGCGACTTGGCCGAGGTAGAAGTAGATGAAGTGCTTGGTCTCATGAGTCACGTAGCTGCCAAAGTTCCTGCCCACGATGCAGTGCCAAGTGGGATTGTATTTCTTGTCAAACTCCTGCAAAACAGATCACTACAAATTAAGAACTCATCTAATAGGTTTCACCTTCTGAGCAAGGCAATCAGAGAAAGAACAGATGCTCTTTAAGTACTAGGATTATTTTATTTACATCTTATTGTTCACCTGCTGCTTAGTCAGACACAAAAACCCCACAGCGCTTCCTAACTGAGCAGTACTAAGTTTAAAACATTACTTTTCTTGAAGGAAAGTAGTCTTCTATTCCCCCATAATTCATAAATTATTGAATCTACAATTCTGAAATAAAAGATTCATGATTAGTTTTGTACCCACAGAGACAAAGCCATAATTTAGACTTCATTGTTTATCAGCAGCACAGCTACAAAACAGAAAATTCTCTGCCACCTGCTGTGTAACAACAGTATGATCAATAAATCTAAGAAGTTGTGCTTTACGTATTCTCAAACAAATCCTATACTAATTCCCAGTAGTTGCAACAAAGGATACGTGAAAAGTACTAAACTCCTTTTCCCCTTTCATAGGTACCTTACGTGTCTGGAGAAAAAAAAAAGCCTTTCAGTATTCTGGTCATAGCAAACAAGTATTTCTTTAACAGAAACAATCATTCTTCATGGACGAATTACTTCACATATTACAGAAACTTCTCCACTCTAAGTATCCCAAGTTTTAAAGCCACCCAGGCTTTCAGTGGCACAGCAGCAGAACAGCTCCAGCTGGGTGCCTTCAGAAGGACCCGGACAAAGAAACTGCCAGGCAATCACACCCTCCCAGCCTCAGCTCCCCACCCCTCACAGTTCTCACTAATAACAACACCGGGGTCTGGGGACTTCTTGTTCTTTACTGGGTTTTTTTCATTGTCGCTGGACAGTCTTTTTTATCTATCACGTTGTGTTTTCTGCTGACAGTTATAACTTCCTTATTTTCCAGCTTGAACCAGCTCTTGAGGCCCTTTTTCACAGTGCTAGGTAAAAGTTAACATATCTATGTGAAAATTCACAGCTTGTGGCCTAAACCTTTATCAAACTTTGCTCCTCATGCCAAGCAGTTAACTCCAGACAGTTTCAGTCCAATCGGCCTCAACATTTCAACAGCTCTTCCTCTCAGATCACTTCAACTTCTACTGACGCACTTTCATTTCTCTGTTCTCCTGAGCTGACGAAGCAGGAAATATAATCTGAACTAGATCTTTCTCATGTATTGTTAATCCTACATAAAGGATGACACAGACGTTGCAAACAACAGATAAGCAGTGCCACCAGGATTTTTTTTCTTTTTTGCTTATATCACTACGTAAGGAGAGGTGTGATTACAGAGAATTACAGAAAACCACTTTTCCACTGCTATTTTTGATCCAGCTGGCAAGAATTGTAAAGAGATCCTTAAGATTAAGTTAAATACAGACGAAACCCAGAACAAGCTACCTCTCAGAGGAAAACCACAGGAGAGCTCAATAGAGTCCCTGTGTTTTGTACCAGCTCATCAGTCACAGGGACAGTCAGGTGCCACTCTACCCTCACGTGGACAACAGACAGTGGCAAAAAAGGCCGTAAGCAGAAAGCACTGCAAGAAAAAAGCAGCACCTAGAAAGGGCCCGTAGAGGGTGGGTAAAGCAACACATGGACATCAGCCTAAAGAGAAAGTCCAACTTGATTATCTAGTGTCTCAAGAACTTGTTTTTCTAGCACTACTTACCCAACAGCATTCTCCCCAATTCATTTTTCATGTGCATAGAGATATCATGAGCACATTACAAGCCAACATCTACCTTCTTTATGTGAGCAGCGATGTCCTTCTCGATGTTGTATTTCTCCAAGGCTTGAGTTGCACATTCCACAGCATCTTGCTGCATCTCCTCTGACATGTCCGCATTTTTGATCACTGCCTTTCGATCACTCATGATTG